TCTAATAACCTAAGAGAATCACAATAAAATGATGTTTACTTCTTGGACTTCTCTTTTCTAGACTATGAGCTCTTAAAAGGTAGGAATATAAATTTAAAATTTCCTTGAATCAATAAACGTGCTCATAAAAATTTGCTGAAAGACTGTTTTGTGTCATTAACTGCAAAGGGATATGTTGACATTTTCAATTGGCAATAACTAGACAGACATGACCAGGATCACCTTAACCTGATCTGTTGCAACCAGCTGAACTCCAATGTCAAAGCCAATTTGTGATTCCAGGATGAAGAGATGACATAGAGGTGACATAGTCCATAGTACATAGACTCAGGCTAAGGCATGAGATGATATTGTAAGAGACTATAAGATTTCTTGTCTCTGAATGAGGGTCAAGACAGTAGATGCTGTCATTTTCCTCTTCTCTTCCAGTGTAAATGGAAAGCCTTGATCTGTTCATTCTTGAAAACATTTAACAGCCATATTTTTTACCATTACTAATTGCAATTGTGACTCTAGAATTTGTCTGAAATATGTATGATCTGTCTTGGCAACCTGTTAAAGCTCTGTGGAACTTAAACTGTAGTGAAGTAAGGTTTATTAAAAAGAAAACAAAACCGAAAAACTGTCCTCTACTATGCCATTATTGCCTATTTGTCTGTAATTAAATAGCAGTGTCTTCAATTAAGTGTTGTGTCAGATTGCACAAGCTTATGAAAAACATTGAAAGGTATGCAGAGAACATTATTTGGAAGATCCTGGTTCCTTTGGAACATGGCATCCTAATATAACGTTCTTACCTTGACTGGTATAGAATAACACAATAACTTTGCAGAGGTAATTTTGAGAGTGATAAGATGATAATTATGTGCTTTGCCAGAAAGCCATGCCTAATAGGCCTATACATAAATACATACATACACACACGAATGTATAATGTTACATATAAATATTGTATACAAAATTATACATGAGATGTTACATGTGCTAGATATAAACATTACACACACATACAAATACTGCTTCGTCACTTGCTTAGCACTTTTTACTTGGCTTACAACTTTGAGGATTATCACTTGCTAGATATAGCATATATCTACTCTTTCTTTCCTTCTACTCCAGGTACTACCCTCCCTTCAAGGCTCACTAAATCACCAAATTCCATGATGCCTTTGCCAACCTCTTGGCTTTCCCAATTTGGAACAAGTCAACCAAACTAAGTTTATGCCCATAGGGAATAATTATAAATATAGTGTCCTGAGACCTATGTTCTGATAAAATTAATCCAACATCTTTCACAAAGGAAGTGCTCAATAGTTATTGGTTGGATGTTACATTGATGAAATCGAACCACTCATTGCGTAGCACAGGGAGAATGAATTGTTCTCATGTAAACCTTATAGCAACACATGTGCACTTCAGTTCATGTCTGATGTCTGTTCATGTCAGTTCATGTCTGATGTCTATTCCAGTAATGGTCTCCTGCTGTTTTCAGTCTTTCCAATCTTAACCAAGCATTCCAGTTTCCACTGAAATAATACCAGCTTCCTTATGAAGTGTCTAGCTCACCATGGCTGAGGTGACCTCCCCTTGATACTACTCCATTAAAGCATGGTTCAGGCATTCTGATAATTACTATATACAGCTGGCTAATTGTAATTCTTGATATATATAATTGATCTTTTGTTCTTTGAGGTTACAATTATTATATGCCTCGTAGGCCTAAGTTCAAGTTTTGAAAAAAGAAAATTCTTAATAAATATCTGTATATTGATTTTTGTTCAATTAGCTACTCTAGTCTACTTGGATTTGTCAGATCATACTGAGTTTCTACCTTTATTACATAATCGAGACCTTAAAGCCATAGAGTCTCCTGTTAATTTCTAGACATTCTTCATGATCCAGTTAGACTGAACTTCAGGGCAGGGGCTTGTCTACTTCTACCTTAGGTTATGGAGGTCACAGGGATGCTCATTGTAGACTGATCAACATAGTAGAGAAGGAGAGATATATGACCTAATTTAAAAAGTTTATGAAAAAATAAAATTAATGTTTATTTTGATGCAAAAAATTGAAATACATGTGTAATATTTTCATAATACACATTTTCCATTGAAGTTTTGAAGACCCACTCATATAACAGGCACTCTTTCAAAGGCAATATCTATCAGATCTTTCTACATATTTTTCATTAGCAACATCATTCTAAGAGCAGCAATTTTGATGCCTCCAGTTGACAGGTCAACCTTGTGAAACTCTCTGAAAATGAGGAATTGCTCATCATTTCTGATTTTGAAATAAGTTCTCCCTGAGAATATATAACCTGCTTTGAGGTGCAGATATAGAGCTTCCTATTCATGACAAAAGACAGAGCAAGAACATCTATTACAACACTTGCTAATGTAATGATGGCACTGTTCAATGCTTAGTTCTCATTAAATTTCCCATAGGGCAATTAGACTTAATAAAAAAATATCCTCTCAGGGCCAGTATATGTCTAATTGCTCATCTGCCTAAGCAAGAAAAACCCTGCTCAAGGCTTCGAATGCCAACCTTCCCCAGGCATATGTCATCTTCTGCCAGCTCCAGGGCAACTTTCATCCAGGTGATGCCTCCAAGACAACTGATTCAGCAGTGGCACATCTTTCCCTGACTGAGTTCAGATAAATGCTTTTTGAAATGATAATCTTTTCTTTATTTAAACTCGTCACCAATATTTTTAGTCTGCCTTATACAATGGGCGAGAAAAATAAAAATAAAGTAATTTGGCTATAATCCAAACCTGGCAGAAAAAGAAACACATGCCCACGAATGTCATCTGAGATTGACCCACGTTGTGTCATGTGCTAACTCTGGCAGAACCCATTACATAAGTGGCCAGAACTAGCAAATACAGACACACACACAAACACACACACAAGCCTACATACACATGTTTGGACATGTTCACCTACATCTTCTTGTATAAGTAGCATATGCCTTCTTCCTTAATCCCCAGGCCCATTTTAGGGAAGTGTTATCAAATACCCACACATTCCAAAGAAAAAAGGAATTTTGGTTAGCCCAACAAGAACAAAATAAACAAATAAAAGAGGAAGAGAGAAAAAATTTCCCTTTGCTAAATTAGTACTAGTAGAGTATGTGATTCGTGTTTACTATAACAATTGCATTTTCTGATGCTCTGCTCTCCTTGAGCAAACAAACAAAAGAAAATTATTGAAAAGCAAAACAAAAGCAAACATTCAAACCAGCTAATGATTTTCTTTTTCTTTACTCTTCTTAGGAAGTCAAAGGTTTATTAAAGGTAAGGATTTGAAGTAGATGGTCCTTGCAGGTTCTTTAGGTCTAAAATGTAATTTAAGCTTTAATCTCTCAGCTGGGGATGCATTTCTAATTTTTAAAAAAGGTTTCCTATGCCATACTTCTCATTTCACAAGTTTTCTAAATTCCTGAAGCCTTGCCCAGAGGCGTGAAAGTCACCTTAATGAAGAAAGGAGAGATTAAACCACCATGGCTTTGGAACAGCAAAGGATCTCAGCTGTAATTCTTTGGCTTAGAACCAGGGTCTAAAATCAGCCATGGGAAAAACTGCTGAAATAGAGCCTGCAATTCTCTCCATGTTTGACTTGCATAATGTTGACATTATAACACCAGAGAGACCCAAAAATATTTCAAACAATTATGACTTATTTTCTATAAATATTTTAAAATTGCTTTAAGAGATAAAATAACATATTTTATCCTTTTCGTTTTCTAAGTTACTCTGGTCAGCCTCAGTAACTCACTACTATGAATTTATTTTTGGTTAGAAGGTCAGGGAGGACATCTTAAGGCGCTAAGTCGGCTGTTAAACCGTGTTTTCCAATACAAGTTGCATGGTAAGGAGGAAGTCCACTACTCTTAAAGCAACAACTGAATTCAACTCCCATATTTTCCTCTACTGATGCCCAAGTGAGAAAAATATCCAGTATCCAAGATGATCTTTTAAAAAGTCTCCCACCCCTTAATGAAAAAAAAATTTCTTTTGGATAGGAAAATGTATCTTCCAGGACCAGCAGATGGAGTAATGGTTACGTCACTGGACTCTCACGTAGTTGATCACGGTTTGAGTTCCAGATGTGGTGGTTTGAAACCCATGCTAAGGGTGTGTGTGTGTGCGTGTGTATGTTTGTGCATACCCACAATCCTGAGAGGAGAATGGAGGAGAAGGGATTGTGGTATGGCCATCCCCCTACAGGGTGATCTCTCCCTTTCTGTCTCTTGCTCTGTGAGTCTCTGGTAAGCACATGCACCCTATAGCAAAAATCTCTCTCTCTCTCTAAAAAGGAAAGAAAAATGTTTCTTTCTTTTATCTTGTATTCTTCCTTATGTCAGTTATTTCTGGTATGAAAATTATGTTTGAATAAACTGAGAATTCTCCATCAAGAGAAGATATAAAGTAGGAGGGAGAACTATTAGGATGACCAAAGAAACTCATGACTTCTGGGTATATCATTTGACTATTTCAGGTGTCTCTTTCCTCAAGCTAGCCAAATGGTAGTCACCCAGAGAGTGAGGGGTGAAATTCATTTGAAACCTGCAATTTCCTCTCAGTGAATATGATTAATGGGTCTGAATTCTAGGCCCTGGAAATAGACTGTGATATCTTTAGTCACAGATGAGCTGAGTGATCTGCAGGTTAATAACCCTTTGGTGCAATTTCAGTATCTTTCCCAGAGCCTGAGAACCAGAGAATTGGCTTGCCTGCAACATAAATGCCCCCAGCATGATTTGTAGCATTTATTTTTGATATGAAAACATCAGATTCCAAAGCCGAATACTATATTCCTTCTAAAACAGCCACAGAAAAGTCTTCCTAGTTTATGACTTTAAAGCTAAAATAAATCTCCTGGTTGCTCCTTTTGAAACTTACAGTTTAATTAAAAAACCCAGAGAATTTGGATATAACAAAGTTCAGTGTTGTTTCAAAACACTGGTTGTGGGAATAGGAAAGCAGAACTCACCTTCGCTCCCAGAAAAAGCATCGCTTGAGCCTGCCAGTGCCAAGGTCAACAGCAGTGGCCAGAGATCCATACCTGTAGGACCTGCAATCACAAAAAAGAGGATGATAAAGCCAAACAATTAAAAGAAGACCATTATGATGACATCCTGTTGAAAGACATTTAAGCCATGAATAAGCTAACATCATTCTAGAAGAAATCCTAGTAAATCTTTCACTGCCCATAATGCCTCACATTGTCATACTTTTCTTGAGTGCAAACATTGGGTTGTGGTAAATCCTACTTCCAAGGGGTGTTGGCCCCAGTAAATAACATAGACACTAGAGATTTTCATACTGGCCAATAGCCATAGAACCACCTCACAGCAATGACCCCCATGCACTGCTTCAGTAATACAGTCAGTGTGGTTCACTTTAATATGATCTGGAAATAGACAAACTTGTTAACAGTATTGCCAAGCATGGAGCCTTGAGCTGGACAGGCCATAAAAGGAAAACAGAACAACCCAGTATAATGGTAACACTTCTTAAGTCTGTTTGCCAGTGATCAGAAGGGCTCAATTAACATGCCAAAATGCTATACTACTAAACTATCCTAAGGAGGTTTAACTAGAAGGAAAGCAAAAGGTGAGAAGCAAAGGAAAACAAATATTTCTGCTTCCTAGGTGTTCTCCCTAAGACAAACTGTGTCCTTGAGGGTTTATAGTTTTATGAGTAGTGTGTGGTGCTGAAAAACCTGGGAATGTGAACACCTCAGACCTCAAAAGGGATCAGTTTGTGGCCTTGCTAGCTATTTAGAAACCCAGGTGCAGCCAGACTTGGAGGTCTTCAGTCTAATGAATGAGGAAGCGAATCAACATGCCACAGTCAGCATACACTTTTAGCTGGAGGATATAAGCTTCTCTGGAAAAAATTAAACAGGATATCCATGTCCAGGATCTCTAGAGACAAGTTTGAGCTGGTTGACCATGAACTCAACACACTGCCTTTCACAGAGCTGTTGCTGCATCTGACAACTAATGACAACTACTTTAAAGCTTAGTTGTAACATTCCCATACAATTGCACTATTTACAAGCAGGTAGACCTGATCCTTGTCACACTACATGCTCCATCAGGGTCTCTGTTGACCTCATTTTTACTACTGTGAAAAGTTGTCAATTAAAAGCCTTTTCTAACTATTCTAATCAGGCTGAAATGATGAATACGAATATTTATTTTCATGGGCCAACTGATGTGGTACTCTAGCAATGAGTGTATAAATCTGAATAGGTATAAAATATCTGGTGTTTTATACTTTCCTTTCTAGACTTTTTTAAAAAAAATGTTTGCCAGAGAGAGACAGAGAGAGAGAGAGAGAGAGATAAAGAGAGAGAGAGAGAGAGAGAGAAAGAAAGTGAGAAAACACCTCTCATGGGTCATAGCCAAGCTGCAATCTCTTTCTCTCTATCTCTTACTCCTTTCAGGATTTGGGGCATGTATGCACATGTGCCTGGCATGTTTCTCAAGCCACTGGGTCTAGGATTTGAACCACACAGCTGGGCATGTGTGAGCCAGCTCACTTAACTATCAGGCCATGGCCTGAATGACCCAACATTGTTTTTTGTTCCATATCATTTTATGTTTTTACTAAATTTTTGCTTTAAAAATATCTCTGTGTAAACGGAACTTCTTACCACATCTGAATGCCTACGTGCAGACCCACATGCATTGGAAGGCCCATCATACTCTACCTCATGAAGTCACTGAGAGGAACGAGCATAAAAGTGCTAATGAACACACTGTGAACTACGAGTTTCAAACAATGTAAGTTGCCATTATTACAACATCATGCTTGTCATTTCCAACCTGGAAGCCTTTGAGCCTTGCATCATCCTTTTCTACACCGCTAATATGAATCACTGTGTATCTCACTCTATGTACTATACACTCAGGTGAACAGACAATAGAATCAGTTTAAAGCCTCTACCAGAAATACACAACAAAAGGCTAAAAATGAACATGTTATAGGTTAACAATATCACTCTGTTGGTAGCTAGATATTTTCTTTCAATTTGATTTTTAAAAGTTGATTTACTGGGGACCAGCAGATGGCATAATGGCTATGTCGTTGGACTCCCACATAGTCCACCGTGGTTCGAGTCCTGGACCTGGTGGCTTAAATTCATGCCAGGCACGTGTGTGTGCATGCACAAGAAGATCCCAAGAGGAGAATGGAGGAGAAGGGATTGTGGCATGGCCATCCCCTCCCGGGGGGGGGTGATTTCTCACTTTCTGTCTCTCTATCTCTCTATCTCTCTCTTTCTGGCAAATGCATGCACCCTATAGCAAAAATCTCTCTCTCAAAAAAAAAGTTCATTTACTTTTTTCATGAACTATAAAAAGAGGGCAGGAGTACCTCCCAAGAGGTACACTGAGATCTACCCCTAACCTGAGCCAGCCCAGATCATAAGCATGCATGGTCATGCCGATAGTGTATGGGGAGGGGTGGACCCTGTGTAGGTTATTGTGTTACGCCTGTGCCATGATCTAGTCCCTGATATGTTTTTAAAAAAATTTTTTTTTATTTTAAAGTGGAAAGGCAATAGAGGAACTAGACTTTGTATACAATGTTCACTTAGTCATTCCCCAACACACCTAGTATCTGGGAAAGAAGCCCTGACTTCCAGGCAGCCTTTTTTTGCTTCCCAACTAAATAAGGATATAAACAGGTTAGTATCTCTCAGAAGGGGGCTTTCTCCTGTTGAGAAGTCACCTCTTTGGACAACTTACAGGGATCAGAAACAAGTGACATTTGCCTCAGATGAATAGGAAATGACCCCCTCCAATCCCTAAAGTTTGGAAAGCTGCTGCCTGCAAATGAACTTCATGTCTACCAAACAAGAAACTACAGTCAACACAATTCTTTTACAAGCCAAACACATCTCCATAGAATATGCTCTAGCTCACAAAACAAAATAAGCAAAGAACATTCCCCTCCAAAGCAAAATTGACCAGAAACGTGTTCGCACACTTCTGTAGCAGAAAGAGGATTTAAAACTATCCTTCTCCTACATAGGAGATGGTAACAGTCCCTGCCACCATAACACTGCATAGGGACCCAACTCTAACACTCTCACTAGGAGTGGGAGCCAGGAAGAGGATGAAGTAATGTGGTTGGATTCAGTAGAACCTGATTGCTTTCTTAAAATCTAACCCTTTTTCTCCATTCTACTGATGTTGGCTCAATGGAATGACTCTAAAAGTAGCCTCTTTCTATTTATTTATTTATTTTTCTTTTTTTAATTTTTATTTTTATAATTTATTTCTTTTTGTATATATTCAATCACATTGTTTAGCTTACAATGTGAGCATTTCAATATGTGAACATTTCTCCCCAGTCCCGTTTTTCACTCTCCTGGAAAATTCGCTCTAGTACATGACCCAGGCCTGGAGATTTCCCATCCAATTTGATTGTACGCTGCTCCCATTAGCTTTGCAGAGCTCCACATGGCAGCTTCTAGATGACAAGATTCTTCGTTAGGTTCTAGCTGAGTTAAATGTTCTCAAGAAAAGACAGATGCTGATACATAAAGTCTGGAACTTTAATGTAATATGATGTGCCAGATGTAAGGAAGGGAAAGTCTCTTATCTCTCTTCCCCAATACTTTTTTTGCACAGGTACCCAAACTTATCATATCCATCATTTAATCCAGAGGTACAGCAGTCCACCCAACGTGCCATAAAAGATTTTACTTGTAATCTAAGTAGAGGAAGGTTTGTTTAGAAGAATCCACCAAATTGTTCCTTAGCCTATTGAGTTTTTAAAGCTTGCAATATTTTCCTAGGAAAAAATTCCACTCTAAATTTCTTAGGATATTTATGCATTTTTTGGCTGTAGCCTCATGGCCAAATTTTCTGTGGGAGGGGGAAAATGGGCAACTATTCTTGCATAATAAAATGCACACAGTTTTTACCCTCAACACCTGAAGCATTTGGAATGCTTCCCCTACTTCCTGAAGAGAGAAACCAGTGTAATCCAGCTGGCATGAGTTTTAATTCTGTAGACAGAGGAGGCCTCCAGATGACGTGGATAGGTCTATGCTATATTGACTTTTATTCCTTGGCTATAAAACAGTCCATAAACACACAGAAGAGATGGAGGTTAGATAGGATATTTTTTCCAACATGTTATTACTAACTTTAGGAAAAGAAAGCAATTGCTTCTACTTTCATTAATTTAAAATTAGCAAATGTTTATCAAACTACTAGTGCATGGTAGAATTGTGCAAGGCACTTTAGAGATTAATGCGAAAGCAATCAAAATCATGGTTCTTGACTTCAAGAATTAGGCAATTTAAGCACACAAAAGTGAAAAGAAGGAGGATACCTAAAAATGTAAGGTTAGAATAGGAAAAAATAAAGCAAAACAAAAATAAAACAGCTATTGAATCTACTGAATCAAGAGACGTAAACTAGAACTAAATGACAGACTGACTATAATGGGTAAAAAAAGTGAGGGGGCTACGGTGAGCACAAATGACTGTTAAGTGTGGTTGAACGGTAGTGCAACTGACAGGACTGTGGACCTGAGTTTAGGGGGAAGAGGTCACTCACATGAACTGTTTCAGATACTTGAATGTTTAAGACAATTACAAGATTTCTGAAAATGTTAGAAATGCCCAGTGGGAAGTTGAAAGTAGGAAACCAAAGACTAAGAAAAGACATGATTACTGCATGTGAAAGATAGCTACGTAGAGATGATGAGTATCAGGTAAATTTAATGTTAAGAGTAAACAATTTTGCGAAAATGCCCCACACCATTTTTATCAAAAATATTAAAACGTATATGAAGCCATATAAGGAAAAAATGTGCTCATATCTGGTTTTTAATTTGGCAGAAACAAAATAAACCACCACCCCAAACCACCCACACCCTCTGATTTGTATCAAGTATTTAAGGGGAAAGCAGTCAAAAGCATCCTTGGAGGCAGAAGAAGCCACGGGACTTCAGGACAAGGTTCCACATGGCTACTGTGAACTAGATTTTTAAGGGAATGAAGATTTTCTACTAATAATTCAGCCTCCAACAAATGAGCTAGCGGCA